CCCGTGGGGACCTGCAGACACCGGGTGGGAGTGGTCCTGGACACGGGGCTGTAATTTTATAACCAGTCAGGAAGTGCAAAGGAGCTGAAGAGTACAAATTATTTAATGATGTTGGAAAAAATGAATTTAATATAAAATGAGATTAAATATATAAAGACTGAACCTTATCAACAGGAACTGAGCTTTCCCTTTAAGTTCCAAAGTTTCATGCCTTGCAGGTTTATGGAAAATGTTTAATAACTTAACAAAATAATTAAGAGGCTTCATCACCTATCCAGGAGATCGTGTGACATCAGCCTAATTCTGACACTTGGCCCTGTCTTCCGTTTTCGCTTGTTCTGTTTTTCATGTTGATCCTGTCTCCAGAGATGTTACGTGGCTTGGTAAATTTTTCATACGAAGTTCTGTGGTTTTGAAAATGCAAAAAATAGAAATGCAGAGTGGTTTTGTGATTTGAAATTAAGTTATCCTTCTTCATAAAATGGACTGCTTTTACTGTGGAATTTTCTTGACTTTTCTCAACTTAAACCGCGACACTTTGAAGGTAGAAGGGGGCAACATGACTGTAGTGTGGCACCGGAAAGCAGAAATCAGGGGACTTATTTCTAAATCCAGTGTGGAATACTGTGTGACTTTCAGCTAGGGCTTCTGTGCCCTGGGAGTTCACAGTTTATCTCAGAGTGATGATGGGACTTGAGGTGTCTGTATTTCATTTGAAACATTCCAGGCTCTCGGTAAGAATGTCTGCGATGTATTAATTTAGCAAACATGTTTAGGTACCTTCTTTCTGTATAGCATTGTGCTCAGAGCTGTAGTTTTTCACAGTTAAATTTACGGAGATTTGGTTTGTCAATCAAAGATTGAGAGCAGTTTGAAACGAGCAGAGAGCATTACCATTGAAATGGTTTGTTAAAGATGGTGCCAAGTGAGCAGGGCTGTCCCCTTGTGAGCTGCCCCTCCTAATTAAAGGGGAAGGTGGCTGCCATCTGTCTTCTTTCATTCAAGGCAGTAGGGGGTCTAGGGTGGAAGGAAGCAACCCCCCCTTTTATTTTTCTCCCACTCTTTTTCATAGTCGGCTTTCTCCCTAGTCAGTGACCCAGAAGGTCATTGATGATCTGTCTATCTCAGAATGAATAGTAGCATAAGCATGCAAGGCACTTGCAAAAAAAAAAAAGTTTATAAAGTGCATTTATCCACTTAGAATTCTGCCTGAATTACGTCTGAGAGGGTTGTAATCTCTGGGTTGGTGTCCTTGCCTATTTTGTTACTGAGGGCGCTACTGGCTGGGAAAGTGGGGAGTTTTGCTGATTCTTGTTTTTTCATGAAAAATTTTTTACACTCCATTGGGCATAATCAGAAGATGGCAGCATGTAGCTATCCAGTGGGAATGTAGAGGAATATTATTCTTATCAAAACCAAGGACACCTGTTAATCATTTTACACACACACACACACACACCCCATCTCACAGGAAATCATAGGCAAGGATGTTAACAGTTGTCTGAGTTACTCAGTGCAGCTTTTTGGACCAATCTTTGAAATAATTCACATTGTCCTTCAGTTAAGCAATCAGCCTTTTAGACTCTTCCTCATGAGAATAGGTTATTAGAGAATTTAGTTAGTGTGGGGCCATGACTTTAATAACTTTTGAGACATAGAGTACTCTGACAGAATGACAGCTTTCTTGCCTCAGTTTCCATCTCTTCAAACAGAAGAAATATGTGCTGCTTTTACAAGTGTTTAAGAGAATATGAAATAATACTTCCTGTCTTTGATACAAACTTTATTACAACTGAAAAATTCTAAAATCTTTGGTTATTTTTATTTGCAGTTTTCATATAGTTAAGCAAAGCATCAACAGTTATCTAAAAAGGTTCAATCCTTAACACGTTATGTTAAGCTCCCCCAAGCAGTGGATATGGACTTCCCAGAATATGCTGATTTTTAGAACTCTTAGTGATGTCGAAATGTGTTTCTTAAACCCATAACAATATGTTTGGAAAGCCCAAGTGTGACAGTCATTGTCTGTAATTTTATTTAGGGGTTTTGGGGTTTTTTTTTCAAATTTGTGTTCAACTTGTGAAGAGTTTTCTTGAAAGCTAAGATGTGCTTATGTTGTTGAATCTGGGAGGAGCAATGTGTAGATTCTGGAGACACTGACATCAGTTTGTATGATAGGATGATACCTGAAAAGTGGCTTCCTAATCACTGAATGGTACACAGTGCTGAACAGGCAGGTCTTTTTGGCTCTTTCATGTAATTTAGATACTTCGATAACTATCCTTTTTAAGGTGTGATTTATATTAATTCAGTTTTACCCATCAGCACTTATTTCAGAGGGACTAAATAAACAATTAAATGATGTGCAGGAATGAAGTGTGACTCTGAACTAATGTAATTAATACTTTAACTTACGTAGCAAAAAACACATAGACATGCCGAAGGATGTTGCTTCCTTCAAGTACCGAGTTAGCTGGGAAGAGTTTACGCTTCTACTACAGGGATGCCATCTTTGCCAAGGATACATTTAGAACTCTGTTTGTCATTGCCTTAAGAGCCTTCCATCCTTTTTTAAAATAATCCACAGTGGTAAGAGTTCTTTGGAGGTAGGAAGGAGCCAGTAGTTAGGTCTGATGAAAAGGTTTATGATCCAATAACTGATTTGAGTCGTTGATTCATGTAAACATTTACTGAGCCACTGACTTACATTCCAGCAGTCAGTCGTGATTCAGAAACGAGCATGTCAGGGGCCTGGCCCTCCAGGCAGATAATTTAGTGGGATAAATGGCATATAAAGAGGTAATACCACAGATTGACACAGTGTTGCCAGAGCCGGGGGGCGGGGGGAGGTTGCGGGGTGGGGGTTGTGGAATAAAAATAAAATGTGATGGAAAAAATGAGAATTGTTGTCTGCATGATTTATAAAATGGCTTACATAATAGAATTTTGGAAATGAAAGTCCTGAAAAATCTTTTCTATTTTAGGGATGAGGAGATGGGAATTTATTTCTGAAATTCTTTAATTCTCAGCCAGTTGAAAGCCTTATAAGAAAAGGTGTTCATTCTGTAATAGACATTTTTTTTTAACCAAAAGAAGTTGTGGCTTTATAAAAGGTCAGGTCTAAAAAAGGTTTTGGACATTGTTAAAATAACGCTGTATTCTCCAAAGGAGAATGATCTTAACTTATATGTTAAAACAGAGTACTTTTGACATACTAAATATACCAAAGCATTACATGCCAGATTGATTGCTGAGAATAGCTGTCTAGCTTGTGGGAGACAGTGAATTTGGAGCTTGTCTGCATCCTAAGTATATGGTGGGAGAGAAAAGGCCTCCTCACGTCCTCTTTCGTGTTTTATTCCACGGGGACGGAATTTCTGTCCTGCAGCCGGTGGTGGATCTCCTCGTGGATAAGCTCACTTAACAGTTGTTTGCGGAGTGTCGCTCTAGGACAGGCACTGATCCATCTGCTGAGCAGACGTTCGGCTGGTTGACTGCAGGCCCCGGAGGCTGGGGCGTCCTGAGGAGGACCCTGTAGGTCTGCACACTCAGCTGCCGTTTCCTGGGTGCCTTTCCTGAGCATGCCAGTGTGGGCCCGGGTGTGATGCTGTCCGCTGAGAGCTTGGAGCTAAGGTTCTGTGCACGGATCACGTTAGGAGACACAGAGAGAAGAGAGAGAAAATGTATAGAAGTAGAGAAACACATCACACATTTGTAGAAAAGGAAGATCTTCTGTGGCTGGGCAGTCAAGAAATGCATGGTGGATGGATGAGTGTTTGGCCGGACATTGAAAGAGAGGTGGTGTTGGTCTTGAGGACTAGGAGAGAGCGTGTCCCAGCCCAAGGACACTTGAGCAGAGGGACAGAAAGGGATGAGAGGGACTGGTGCACTGAGTGGGCAGTGGCTAATTTGCGGTTTCCGGATGACAGTGAGTGTATAAAAGTGACCAAGGGGAAGAGAAGGCAGCAAAGGTCTATTGAGGCTGGACCCACGAAGGCCATGAAGGGCATGTGACTGAACAATTTAAACTTAATACTAAGTCACTGGAGCAGCTGAAGCATCTCAGTCAGGAGAGTGACAGAAGGCTCTCTCCTGTAAGAAGCCTCTGGTATCAGTGTGTGGAGTGGCCTGGGCAAAGACCAGACCCGGGGAGCCCCGTGAGGATGTTGTGATGGTTCAGGAGAGAGGTGCTGAGGGCCTGAGTGAAGGAGAAAACTGATTGGCTTGTGGGGAGGAGGATGGAGGCAGAATTACTCTAGATTTTTGAACTTAGGTGCCGTTAATTATTTCTGTGTCATTTGCCAGGCGTTTCACGTGCAGTATCTCATCCAGTCTTATCCTCTGCCTATGGGGATTCTATTGTCCTTATTTCAGAGATGAGAAAACTAAGGCCCAGGAAAAGATTTGTCTACAGTTGTACAACTAATAGGACACAGAGCGGCCCGTCCCAGGCATCTCTGGCTTACATACCTGCGTTCCTTCTACTGTACTAGGTTTTGAAGGGAGCGGATGTGAAACAGAAGATGATCTCTGTTCATTTTGTATGTACTCACTTTAGGTGCTGGTAAGATGCCCATCAGGCGCCTGGAGACGTGAAATTGAATCTCAAGGACAAAGTTGGGAAGATTAGAGGTAGGGGTTTAAGAATCCACTGCAAGCTCGTTTATTCGGCACATACTCGTTGAGTGTCCTTACGGACCAGCACTGCACGGCCGTGGGAACACAGTAGTAAACGAGAGACTCGTGGTCTTACTTCGCAGAACCACAGGCTCACGAGGGAGGCTCTGTACTGTGGGTTGACTGTAGTGCAAAGGGGAGTGCTGATTTGCTGCAGAAACACCCAGCCGCTTCTGGGGACTGGGAAAGTCTCTTCAGAAAGTTGTAGTACTTAACATGACATGCACATGATGAGTGCTAAGATAGAAAGTGAGAAAAAGGCATATTCTGGGGAGGGGAACTAGAATGCACCAAGACCCAGAGGCAAGAGAGAAACACAGTACATCTGAAGAGCGGGAAATTATGTGGGACTGGAACAGAGGAAACTGGAGATACGACTGGGGAGGCAGGCAGCAGCTAGATCAAGAAATGCCCCGGAAGCTGTGTTATGGGATCTGGTCATCCTTTTAAGGACATAGGAAAGTATTCATGAATTTTAAGCATTGGGGTGACATGAGTTGACTCATGTTTTAGACAGATCGCTCTGTTAGAGAATAGATTTTAGGCAGGCAAGTACTGAAAGCAGGAAAACTGGTCAGGAGACTGTTGGAAGAGAGGATGCTGGTGAGAGGTGATGGTGATTCGGATAGAGAAGAGAGACTAGCTGATGTTTAAGGTAGACATTTTGGAATTTGTAGGTTGGTTGAGTATGGAAGATGAAGAAGAAAGAGAAATGAAAGTTAACATGTAAATTTCTGACTTGACAGCTGGGTTGTTGCTGGTACTTTCCTGGGGGACTTGGTGGGAGGATCAGATTTGGGGTTTAGGAGGATCAGGTTTGGTTATCCTGAGTAACAGCGGTGTCCTCAGTAACGAGTAAAGGGAGAACAGGGATTGGAGGTTGTGGTCAGAGAAGGATGTCTGAATTGCTGTTTCAGAAGTGAGGCAGCTCAAATGACCATCAAAAAACAAGGTCGTAAGAGTGGGCAGGCCAAGTGGAGGGGAGAGCTGGCTATGGGAGATGAGGAGGTTGAGGAACTAACACGCGTGCTGGGTGGGTTTTCACGTGGAGGTTGAAGTCACAGGTTGCTGGCAAGACTTGGAGCGGAAAGGGTCAGCATGTAGGTCAGTCACTACCTGTTGAGAAGGTGTGGAGGCTGGGCGCTGAGATGTGCACTGAAAATGTGATTTCCTGGACTGCGTGCACAGTGTCAGAGAGAGAAGAGGAGCTAGAACCCGGGGGTTGGGGGAGAAGGAACGGGACCTGGGACTTACCCCTGAGAGGAGCTAAGGGGTGGGAGGGGACCACGGAGGAAGTTTTCAGAGAAGGAATCAGGGAATTTCGGAGTTGTAGAAGGCCAGCGGAGGTCGGTACAGGGGGAGAGGAAGTGTTGAACGGTGCTGAGGAGGGGGAGCTGTAAGAGGCCTTAGGATTGCTGAGCCCAGGGTCATGCGTGCCTTTAAGGGAGAGGTTCTTTGAGGTGATAGAGGTGGGAGGGGCCCGTCAGAGGTGAAGGAGTGAGCAGAAGTCAGTAGGTACAAGCAGCAAGTATAACCTACACTTGAAACAAATTTTAGGTTGAAAGAAAAGACAGAGAGGCTCATGGTAGCTTGAGGTTGTAGCATCTAATATTGAGTCCGACTGGTTCATATTTTTTGACAGTCTTCCAGAATTCTCTGCTGTGTGTCCTTGGTCAAATTATTTGCCCTTTCTGTGCTTCATTTGTAAAATGAGAAACTGCCTCAGAGGGTTGTTGTGAGGATTAAATGAGTTGTTAAGCAGCACCTTACCTTGCACATGGTGAGTCCTATATGAATGATACTAGTGAAAAGAAAGTAGGAAACATGTATATCAACCGTCACTTTTCAGGCCCTTTTCCCTGAGTATTCACAATAATTCTGTCATGTAAGTGGGAGCGACCTCATTCACTCCCACTTCCACTACAGAGGCCTGGGGAGTTGGAAGTAACGCATTTTAGATCGCACTGCTGATGAGCGGTAGGACTGGGAGATGGGGCTCCCTCGGCCTGACTTGGGATTAATGGTCCTCTCACTGGACCATGGTGTGTCCTTGGGCTGTTGCGGAAGGACGTTGGCCTTGGAGCCTTCCGTGGCAAGAAGCCGAGGCGCACTTGAACGTGGGGTGTGCGTGACCCCCTCCCGGTTCGTCCCGCTCATCTGTCTCACCTGTCTGGCCCTTACAGGTGCTGAGCTTGCAGCCCTTGTTCTAAAGGCTTGTTCTTTACGTGGACTGGAATGCGTTTTCCTGACTCTTCCTGCTGTTCAGATGCCACCTTCTAGATCTGCTTTAACTTAGAATTCATCTCAAAAAAAATGGATCCCTCATTGGAATTTCTCGCCTTTCATCTGTTCTCAGAAAGTGAAGGTGCCATGCATCCTAGAGGCTTTTCCTGTAGCGAAGTTCCATCTGAGTAGCATCTCTTTTGAAAGGATAGTATGATGGTTAATTTTATGTGTCAAAACTGGGTAGGTCAGATATTTGGTGAAACATGAGTCTAGAAGGTATAAAAATACCTGTCGAAGGTATTTTTTAACTGAGATCAACATTTCAATCAGTTGATGCCGAGGTAAGCAAATTATCCTCCATCATGTGTGTGGGTCTCGTCCAATCAGTTGATGGCCTTAAGAGAAAAAGATTGCTGTCCTCCAGGGAGGAAGGAATTCTGCCTTCAGACTGTGCACCACCATCTCTTCCTTGGGTCACCAGCCTGCCCTACAGATTTCAATTCCTTAAAATCAGTCTCTCAATCTCTCTCCTTCGCGCGCACACACAGACACACACGCGCACACACATGCACACGCGCGCGCGCGCACACACACACCCCTAGTGGCTGTCTTTCTCTGGAGAACTCTAATACAAACAGGAAGATACGGAAACTTAAATTGTGCAGTGGCTGTTGCTATTAGCAAAGATCCGCATCAGGCCTCTCTAGGCGTTCTCAGTGTACATGCATTTTGCTTGTTGTATAGATGAGGAAAGTGAATTACAGAAGGGGTGTGGTGCTGGCCCTGTGATGCCAAAAGGAGACAGGAGAGCCAAAGAAAGAGCTCTGTTTCCTCGGGTGAGTCTCGGCTGCTTTCTTGTTATTCAGCGCTCGCGTTATTATTAGCAGGATAATAAAGTTACTGGCTTTGCCATGCATAATAATTGCTCACATTTGTAGACTGTTTTCTGTATGTCAAAGTCCATTCTAATTGCTTTACAGATACTAGTGATTTTAATCCTTACCCAGTGCGATAGGGACTAATATTAACCCCTTTTTATAGATTTTAAACCCTGAGTGCCAGTGAGTAACATGGTCACTGCTGTACAGCAAGCGAGGGAGCCTGGCCAGGGTCCGGGGCCGCCTTGCTCCAGGGCCGTGCCTCTCACCCTCCCGCTTTACTGCTTCTCAGCTTGAGATGTCCTGTAGACAGCCCTCCATCTACCTTTGGAGCCGTTGTCCAGAACATAGTGGTGCTTTGGTGTAGCATTTAGAAGAGAAAATGCTGTAAGTTACTCTTCAAGAGGCCTTCTTATTCCTGGATATTTTCTTGCTACCTCTTTGAGAAACAGAAAACATTCCCATTACAGCAACAACGTGGACGTCTTTCTGGGGTGTATTTTTGGCAACTAGACTTTCTTGTCTAGCCTGGGGACACTGGTGGCCACTGAATTTGCCAGAAATCATACAGAAATGTGATAAAGTGGTGATGTGGCTGAGTTCCTCGTCCAACAGTCTGGGGTGTGTTCTGGGGAGGACGATAGCAAACTCCTTTGTGTGTGTCCCTCAATTCTCCAAGGAAATAACCATCATAACCGCCATTCGTGGGGCCTTTTGTACTTCAAGGACTGTTTGAAACGCTTCACAAACAAAATCTCATGGAATCGTCTCAGTATCATCATCACATTTTACATATAAAGAAAACAGTGAGTGGGGAGGGAAAGAACATTTCTAGGGCAGGTGGCAGAGCAGGATGTACGCTTGGTATCTGTCAGTGTTCTCCATCACTCCGTACCTCCCTGGTGCCCATGCTCCGCCCCGCTGGACCGTAAGCTCCCTGAGGGCAGGAACTTTTTCTCACTGAGTTCAGCATCTCCCAAGAAAAGGGCCCGACATGTCATGGGTTCTTCATGCATGTTTGTTGAGTGACTGATGGAGCCACTGATCACTACCAGTAGCCCTGGGGCCGGGGAGAGAGAGCACTGACCTATGAGGGTATTAAGGACGCTTGTGGATTTAGCCCTCAGGCACCTGCTCGAGGACGTTTCCTCCTCTAACAGCAGGTCAGCCCGGGCTTCAGTCAGTACTCCTCGGCTCTGTCAGTGATGCTCATTCCCCCAGAATCTACGTGATCCTGTGTGCATCCTGTCATTAGCATTCAGGACTCATCTTCGATAGTTTATATGCCACACTGGTCTAGGACGACATCTAAGTAAGACTGTGCTTTTAACGAATCATCAAACTATGCATTTTTAAAACATTGCTGAAGTTCTCTGCTTCTTCCGTTACTCCACATGCCTCTTTGTCTCTCTTTCTTTCTGTGTTTCTCTGACTCTTCCTTGTGTGTGCGCACATGCACCCACACACCGCTTAGTCTGTCACCGATCTCATAAACAGATCTCCTTTCTTTTTTTAGAGAAATACACGGTGTACATGGAAAACCACTTTGGAAGGTGAAACCATGTGATTTATATTTATATTTTGTCTCATTTTTCCCCTCAAAGTCCCTTTCCTTTGCCTCTCATAAGTGGAAGCCAGATATTGTATTCAGGACTATTTATATAAACTTATTTCCTCTTGGAAATAGTAAATTATGATGACATTGACCAAAAGATTACTGTTAATACAAGAAGCCTTGGAATGTATATCCAACTCAAGGCCACGCAAGAGTGCAGATTCACTCAGTAAAAACTCATTAACAGCCTGCTTTGTGTCAGACTGCCCGTCCTCTCAGCTTTGGAAAGCTTCAAAGCAGGGCAGTTTATGTTTAGAAATGACCGGTCAAAATAGCAAGACCGATACAGGCAAGAATGGAGTTCTTTAAAGTTTAAGTAGTCGGGTGGGGTGTAGTGTGCACATCAAAACAGAACACCATCTTGTTGGAGCTCTCAAGTTAAAAAAGCACCTTCCCCAACCTTCTCAGATTCACATTTTTTGCTGGCATTCCTTTTTTTTGAATCTCTAGTCTAAATTGTTCATTCTTTTTTTTAGTAAGGAGGAAGAAAAAGTTCTCCTTAAGAATTCATTAGAAATTAAAACTAATCTCAGCATTTAGTATTCTTTAGAACATGGCAAAGACAGGTTTGAAAGGGCAGGGCTCAGTTTGATCAGCCCTGGAAGAGGAGGGC